TTTAATGAATTAATGAGGCCATTTCTGGCTGAGTGACCACTTCTTGCCCCCACAAGGGAATGGAACTAGGAAACATTTGCATTAGCAAAATGGCCTACTGGGACAGGGCTTTTTGAAATTGACTATAACAAACCTTTTAGAAGCCTCCTAGAGGTAACCAGGAGAATTGAAGTAAATTAAGCTTTAGGCATTGTTGATGGGCCAACACCTCTCGGTAAATTGATGGTCTCGCATTTCTTTCTTTAAAAGGCATGCAAGATACTTAACTGTTGTCTAAAATATTAGGAAATCAAAGTTAGGTGGTAATTTATGTTTCTTATCAAGCCTTAAATTAGTAACAAATCACAACAACTGAGCAGTTGGTTAAATCACTTTCCACTTGCAGTTGCTACCAAAGTTTTGTCGAAGAGCCACACCCTTAACGGGTCAAAGTTGGAAGTTAGTCTCCACAGCGCTTTCCTTGGGAAGCCAGTCTCTCAGCCGGAAGCACAGGAAGTTGAGCTGATGACAAGTATCCCATTAGACTCACAAGTAATGCTCTTTATTTGTGAGCACTACAAAGCTGAGTTCACGCAGGTCCAGGATGATCATGGTGTAACGATAACCTGGGAAGAAGGCGCCAGTAGTATAACCGTCAGGCCTGTGGGTAAAACATCAGCAGACAGGAATGACTTTGATGAGGCATGCAAGGTCATCGCTTCTTTCGAGCAAACATTTAAGACAGCCACTTCACATGTCCTGCCCGAAGCTTGGAAAGCTGTTGTGGATAACTTCATGAAAAATGCTAGCGCCATGGAGGAAAAAGTGAAAGTGCATTGTGTAGATCAGCAGCATGTCATTTCCCTCACAGGAAAGAAGCAAGATGTGGACGGACTCGTGAAGGATTTGGAAGACGTAAAAACAAGTATCGAGAGAAAAGTTAAACTTGAGGCTTCTAAAGTAACCAAGTCTATCAATATCCCGAATACTGTGAAAGTGCAGTTTCTAAGAGACTTAGACTTTGGGAAGGAACTAGAAGCCGAGTTCGAAGAAACTCAAGTTACCATAATCCTGGAAACGGGAAAGGTTGAAATTCGTGCTCCTTCTAACACTGTTCACCGGATTTCAGCTGCGGTATGGGAGGCAGTGGCCAACATGAAGGAATTAAGAATTGAGATGTCGCAGAATGCTGTGGAATTGCTTAGGAGTACAGCGGGTCGAGTATTCATGAACAACCAATTAACAGCCAACAATTTACAAGCTGCCTTGGCCTTTGATTCAGAACGGAAGGACAATGTAATAGTTATGGGAATGAAAACCGAAGTTGCTGAAAAAGCTTCAAGGCTGGTTAAAAGGTTAGTCATTGAAGAGTGCCTTGACCTAGACGAAGATCAAGCTCAGCTTGAGAAAAGTGAAAAGTGGTGCCAGTTAAGAAATGATCTGACCGAAAAACGCATCTTGAGCCTCTCTTTTGATAGAAGCAACAAGAAAATATGGTTAGTGGGAACAAAGAATGATGTTTCGTTCGCTCTAGGAGCTGTCAAGCGTTTCTTGAAAGAGAATACCATCGTCAGTAGCGTGGTGTCACTTCCGCGAGGTTGCAGGCGGTTCCTTATCAGGCACAGAGAAAAGGAACTGCGGCAAATAGAAGAAGAATTGAAAGACTATTCTACTCGTATTAAACGAGTTGCAAGTGAAAATGATGAAGATTTGGTTGTCTCTGGAACAACTGACGGCGTTCAGAGATGTACGAGTTTGATTCAAAATCTGGCGTCCAAAATTGTGAACCAAAAGGTTCTTCTAAACAAACCAGGGATGCGCAGAGTGCTGGATCGAACCCAGGGCAAGAAATTGCTGAGTCTACTGGAGAATGAAAATAAATGCGTAATTGAGCAGTTTATCCATCCAAAAGACGATCCATTAAAGAAACCATTAAATGTTGAAGGAACAAATGAAAAGAAGAAAGAGAGCATTCGTAGTTTCCTTACCCCGGAAGGAAAATACATACTGCTATTTCAGGACGACATCTGCAATCGTAATGTGGACGTCATTGTGAATGCGGCCAGTTCTAAACTCTATCATGCGGCTGGCGTGTCCAAAGCTATTGCTGAGGCGGCTGGAGAAGTCATGAAGGATGAATGTGAACGATACATAGTCGACCGAGGGCCGATATTGGATGGACAAGTAGCAGTTACGTCTGCCGGAAAATTGCCTTTCAAGAAAGTCATTCATGCAGTGGGTCCATTTTGGAGAAAGGAAGCATCACGGGAAAAAGCAATGGGAAAATCTCCAAGAGAGGAGAAACTTCTGCGTTACGCAGTAACAAATGCCTTAGATGCTGCGAAAAGCTATCAGTCGGTTGCAATTCCTGCCATCGGTACAGGCATTTATGAATGTCCACGTGAGCTGTGCGCCCAAATCATGGTTGACTCGGCACTACAGTTTTTTCAAGAAAACGCAGGTTGTCGGTTGTCTGAGATTCAATTCACGAGCATTCAAGATGACGTTGTGAAGGCCTTTGTCAGGGAAATGGATTCCAGATTTCATCAAGATCCCAATTATGCAACGTCGTCCGATGCAAAGGAGAAGATAAAGGCAAAGAAAGGCAAAGGAAGACACAAATCAATGCCCAGGCCAGACTTGGAATCACCTTCTGCAGATATACCAAATGTCATCAAATCAGCGGAAGGCCTGATATTGACTCTCGTAACTGGTGATATGTCTCAACAGAAGGCAAGTCACATTTTTTTTCAGTATATTTATAGGTTTTTCTTTCTATATTATCATGAAATTGTAGGACTTTGCTCTAGCCGCTACTAATATCTATGGAAAGATTGTACGGTCATGTGTTACTTTGAATTATTACCGTCGTTCTCTGCTTGTCTGCTAATTAAGATAGCCTCCTTGCTTTCAAGTCAACACAATTTATTTTGTACTTTGTTTAGATATATAGTACACTAGTTAATCAAAAGCACTGGCTTTTTGACGATAATGCATCCGGTAGAGGCAGACAAGCTGGTAGATAATTTATTAACCTGTCAATGCCTTACAGGCTGGGAAAATCCCATTCTCGTTTGGGGATCCGACGCAACATAAATTGAAGAATAAAGAAACAAGCTGCAAAATGTATAATAATAATATAGCATCTGATACTAATTCTACCAAAATAATTATAATGAGCAGGGGGAACGGCCCATTCAACTACCATGTACCAGTGATCTGGCACTTACCTACGAATCTTTTTTCTCATATCCAACGCGCGCTCGTGGAATAATGTACATTTAGTAAAATACTTTTGTTGGTTTTCCTCAGGTTGATGTTATTATCAATTCGACGTCATCAGAGCTAGATCTAACCAGAAACGCAAGCTCTAAAGCCTTGAGTGATGCTGCTGGTCCCATGCTACAGCAAGAGTGTAAGGCGATTGGTAAGGTGAGCACTGGAGACATTGTGATAACAAGTGGAGCAAAGTTGAAGTGTAAGCATGTCTTCCACACTTCGTGCGCTGGATGGAACCAGCAGAGCGGTGAACAGGTTCGAAGTAATATTTTGCACTTTTGATCTAGTGAATTGTAGACCAATACGTGAGGGCCATTAAACGTGACTTGCCATTCCGCCCCTTAGATTACTTAGATAACATATTGTGGTATTCACTGGGTATTGTGGCATATTTTGCGGGCTGAAATGGAAAACTAAGGAGGCTCAAATACCGGAGGAAGCATATTCCAGCCAATAAGAATTGTGATCCGCTCAACTGTTTTTGCTTCTTCTTGTGTAAGACTGGTCAAAACATTGCTATCAGTCAAACCGTTTATGATCACGCATTGCCCACCTAGCCCATGGTAGAGAGGAAGAAAGATCCAACCTCGACTAAGGAAACTGCTTTTATCAAATGATCCCCGGTGTTATTTCATGTACCCTTCCGTCGAATTGATAAGTCAGAACGAAGACAGCGACAGGGGTAGGGGCAGCGCCTCAGCATTACTTTAAAAGAACGCAATCATCCCGTCTTATTCAGATCACTGCACATGTTTACACACAGCTGCATGATTTCAAAAGTCCTAGTTGGCTGAGATCTGGACCTCTGATCTTTGATCGGCAAGAAAGGAATCCTGAAAATTGGAGTTGGACTTTCGAGTTCGAGGTTGAACCTAAATGGCATTCAGCTTAGCCAGAAGAGCAATCCGGTCATCCGTAATAGATTTCTGATTAGCCTTGTTATAGCACCAGATAAGGCCGAGTGGCACCCAGGTAGCTCGGCATGTTTGCGATAAGCTCTCGCGGTCACTGTACTTAAAAATGGCCCGTAACCTTAACCAACTCGAACTCGATTTGATATCCAACTCTATTATTTCCATTACGTGATAGGTGGGCACCAAACCAAATGAGCTTACCCAATGCACATTGGTTATAAGCAATAAATGCAAGCAATGTCACCGTTAACATCTAGAGTTTCTTGTTTATAGGCATTACGTAACATCATCAAGAAATGCCTCAATGAAACTCACAAACGACAACTTGAAAGTATAGCCATCCCTGCGATTGGAACTGGAAATCTTGGTTATCCCCGTGATCGTGTGGCTGCTGCCTCCTTAGATGAAGTTTTGGCATTCAGTAAGAATAATCCAAACAGCACTTTAAAGGAGGTACTTTTAGTTGTGTATGACAAAGATCTACCCTCGGTGCAAGCCTTCCAGACCGAATTTCAGAGTAGGAAAGGAAGTCATCCTGGACCACCCGCACCACCACCAGCAGAAAGTGGAAAGAAAAAGCGTCGTACATCGAGAGGATTGGCGACCACGAAGTCCGATCCAGACGACTCAATCGCTGACGTCGATTCCTTCGACAATGTAGAAGAATTTGAATTAGATCTTTTAAAGCCTGAAGTCACTATAGGAAACGTCACTGTTCAAATCGAATCCGGTGACATCACCAGAGAAGTAACCGATGCAATTGCAACAATTTCAAACGACCAACTAGATGTTGCATATGGCGGCGGCGTTGGAAAGGCAATTCTAGATGCTGGAGGAACTACTATTCAGGAGGAATGCTCATCCATGGGGTCCCAATTACCAGGTTCAATTGCAATAACTGGAGCAGGAAAGCTACAAACAGGGAAAATCTATCACATGGTTCCCGATCACCGATTGAAGGATCCTATAAAAGACTGCATTGCCAAGTGCCTTCAAAAAGCTGATTCAAACAGGCTGACGTCGATATCATTCCCAGCTGTTGGAACTGGTAACATCCAAAGAGGTGCAAAAGAAGCTGCTGAAGCGATGCTTATGGCAATTTCCAAGTTTTCCCAAGAGCAGCCAAAATCACTTGTTTTAGTTAGGATTGTTATCTTTCAGCAGCGCATGTTCCAGGTCTTCCGAAACGCGATGCAGGCAAGCATTTCACCACCAGATGGTGAACCAGGCCTTATATCTAAGATTGCTGGCTGGTTTGGATTCGGAAAAAGTGGCACGACAACTTCGCATAGCATAACATCAAAGAAGCTTTCGGGTGAGAAAGGAATCAGCTACTTGGAAATTTTCGCAGGGACCAAGCAAGATATTGACAAAGCTGTCGAAGAAATTGAAAAAGATGTTGCCGAACACTGTAAACTGAAAGTGATTGAACGCGATGCCATAAGCAAGCTCTCGAAAGAACAAACACAGAAAATAAAGGATTTGAGAGAAAAACACGACGTTGCAGTAACCATTGAGGAGTCAATTGGACGAATAAGTGTAAGGGGTGATGCAGATGACGTGGTAGACGTTGCTGGCATAATTTACGAAATCCTCAATCAACAGATAGAAGAAGAGCACACTCGAGGAGTCGAAGAACTCGTCTCCAAGAACACGCAATGGTTCTCTTATGGTGATGATGGCAGTCTCGAGCCCTATGACACGAGTATTAACTTGCAGATAGAGAAAGCGTTCGGTGATGGCCAGAATTCCGTCATAGTCCTAATTGATGATGACAGATGTGAGATTGTCTTCAAGGACATGAAAGAAACCTGCCTTGACGATGGCGAAGAAAGAAGTGTCGTCCGAAAAGAGATTGGGAAAGGTGAATATAAGGTGTATTTTAAGAACTAATATTTTTGTGGATTTTATTTATTGCATGTATTTGAAAAGAAATCTTGTTGGATATTATACATAAAAATTCGTCTTTGATTAGCTTATGTTATAATGTACTCGGCTCTAATGGCCGCCAGCTAATTGAGAAATAAACTTCTCAAACACAAAGAAAATTATTACCGTGACGGTATTTGGAAATCTGATCTTAATTAGCATAGAGTTTTACGATTTTATTTTTCCGTTTTGTTTTTTTCGATTGAGAAGACATCAAACACTCAAGACCGTGTTTGACCACTTTTCCAAACACCTCGAAGTTCGGCAAAAGTACTCTGCTGGGCGTCCTATTGTCAGCTCTTTTCTCGATGTTCGGAAATGTCGTCAAACATGGTCTTGAGTGTTTAATACATTACATATCTTAGACACTAGCAAACGTTTTTTTTTTAATATTGTATTTCATTAAATTTATCTTTGTTCTATTTTTATCTTAGTTTAGTTTATTTTACGTCATTTCACTTCACTTCATTTCTTTTCATTTCGTTTCTTTTCATTTCATGTTATTCAATTCTAGTCTGTTTCAATTCAGTGCAGAGTTCCACAGACAACTTACCGTCACAATGCACATTTGAACGTAAAGAATAAGGGAATTAAAAGTTTTATTCTGATCATGTGGCATTCCGTTAGAACTGAAAGTGTAGCCTTAACTTGTCTTCGAAGTGGACTAGGTTTTACCAACATCCAGGCGAGAACGGTTTTGAGGTTAAGTTGGTAAAGATTGTTAACCTCTATGGACTCAAATTTTGGAAATTATGATAAACAGGTATTCCATTACCAAACGAATGGGGCGTGCATCCAAAAGACAGTTCCGGTAAAGAGGAGGAGGTTTATCTAGTGCCTTTGGATCCTGTCACCCACGAAAACGAGTACAAAAAGGTAGCTGATGAAGTTCGCAAGACTTCCGCTGTCACCATCACTAAAATTCAGAGAGTACAGAATCCTGCCCTGTACCGTGTATATATGGTAA